CCTTGAACAACAGTGGCAGCAAGCAGACATTGGCCTTGAACAATTCTCTACTATGGAGAATACTTGAAGGGCCATGGTTTGGCAGACTGAACATGTCCTGTAAGGTTGTAAAACATTTGGCATTTGATGCAATGCCATCATGGCTGCTTTGCTATGGACACAGCTGCAGCAGCTTGCGCACAATGTTTTGCAACATGTTGGAGGCATCTGTGGCGCTTGGACTAGGATAGCTACTTTGTGGCTTTCAGCTTCTTTTTGGGTTGGGAGCTTTCTCCTCCACCCATGTTCTCATTATCTTCAGGCTTTGTGTACAATAGCAACTGGTTGGCATCAATGGCTACGGTGTTGGTGAGGACTGGGATCTTCACATTGCCACTGCTAGTTGTCATGGTGATGGAATGGATCTCCATGTTGCATTGTTCACTGCCACCCTTGCACCACCAAAATGGCACCAATGTCTCTTGGCTCTTGGCATCTTCACCCCAGGCTTGGTATTGCTTCCAAGGGTGGATTTGCCACTTGATGCCACCATGCTCCATGAGTATGCACCCCCTTGGCTCCTTCCCCTTCAATTTGGCCAATGAGCCCAATGGCACCAACTTCAATTGTTTAGCCTTTTTGATTGCTTGGAGTGTCCAAAGACCCATTGGGTTCTGAGCAAAAGCAATCTGGTTGTGATCCACTTGGTGCTTTTCACATGCTTCATGCAAAGCCATGGTTGCTTGCAACTTGGAAAGCTCTTCTTTGGCCATGGGTACCTTGTGGGGCAGCAAAGCAGCAGCAGTCTCTGCTGGGCAAATCTGTGGCATCTTTGCTTTGGACACCTTCCACTTTGGAAGATCATCAAATGGAACATCAATGCTGAGCGATGGTCCTAGATGTGGCCTGTGCACCATTGTGATGGCATTGTCCTTGACATTGGCAATTGTACCTGGGCTGCCCAAAACAGGAAGCACACGCACCAGTGACTGGCTATTTAGTGATTTGCCTAGTGGTGTAATGCAAATGGGCAACCAAAAGCTTACATTGCACAAGTCCAGGTGCACTTCACCTGGCTTCATGTGAGGGTTCTGAATCAAAGCCATGTCCTGTGCACTGGCACTCAGCACATCTTGAGGTGTCTGGCTTTCAAGCTCTTCCTTGGCTTCACATGTGTGAGTTTTGGCCATCTCTTGGGTAAAGGCTTCCAAGATTTGGCCCAAATCCTCATAGGACTTGGATTCCCTGCTGTGCTTTTGTTTGCCAACCAAAAACAGGATGGTCCTGGTGCACAGTCTGCCACATTTATAGCTGTGGTTCTGGTCCTCCACAGTACTCTTGGCAACAATGGGCCAAGCACCTTGGAGCTGGTGTTCTGCTGTGATGACCTTCTCTTTGGCATTGGCAGTCTTCAGCTTGTCCAGATCGGCTTTGGTGAGAATCCTTTGGATGTTGTCCTGGTGCTTGTTTGTCCCCAACATGGTGCACCACATGGCCACTCGAAGCATGGGAAAGATTTCACCAGTGACCTTGAAGTTGGTGTAGCACATTGCTTCCAAAACATCTTGGCCAACTTGGAGCTGGATGTTGAAATTCCTACCTTGAATGGTGGTTCATTTGCAAATAACTAGCTAATGGTTTTGCTTGCCCAAATCATCCAAATTGGTAACATTCATGGTTGGTGGTATAGAGCAAACAAATGGTATTTGTGAAGCCTTTGGTTGCATCCAGGCCACTGAACTTTTGTAGGAAATCCAACATGGGAAATTTTGGCCCACCTGAAAATGTTTTCACAAAATGACTGAGGTAGGTCAAAACTGCAGGCTGGCAAGTATTGGCAGCTTGGACTTTCTCCTTGGCTTCATGAAGTGGTACATTGAGGCTGAACAGGTGGCCAAGCTGGGCAGCAAGCTCTAATTCATTTGGTGCCTTGGAGATGGAGTTGGCAGAGTTCATGGCCCCTTGCAGCAGGGTGGGTAGCATGGGCCATTGGCCTTCCACCAAATGGCTCAAAATGAGCCATGACCACCCATTCTGGATGAGGTCCCAGCATGGATCATCTTTGCGCACTTCCACGGGAGGCTGCTCATCTGGCAGGCAACCATGGCTGATGGCCCTCAGAAAAGCTGTGGTGTGGCTGGTGGACAAGCTGAGGAAACCTCAGCATGGACATGAACAAATGGAAGCAATGGAAGCATGGAATGCCAGCTACTTGTTTGTGATTCTTTAGGCTGACAAAAAGCATAAACCTTTCAGCTGTCATGGCAACCAAAGAACGCTCAGAACCTGTCATGGGTGCCATGGCACCATTGGCCTCCTTGATGAGGTTCTCATTGGCCATCAGCTGCTCAAACCTCTTGGCAGGGTCTGGTGAGATCTCCATGGCCATGGATTCTCCAAGGAATTGCCTTTTCATACCAATGGCCATCATCTTCTGGCCTTTGTCCCACATGTCCAACCATGAAAGCATTTGGTTGGCCCTGTTGCGGGGGTGGCGCAAAACTTGGCTTGGTGTGACCACAGAGTGGTAGGCCAAACCTTGCTTCTTGAGAGTGTGGACAACCTGGTCCACCATTTGGTTCACTGGCAATTTGGATGCCAATAGATTGTTTATGGCTTTCACACAGGCTGGGTCAACCACACTCATGGCGGTCAGCAAGTGTGTTGAGCCAATGCAACTTTGCTGGAGCCAATGCATGGTGGTGGATACCTGGTGCTATTGTTTGTGATTCTGGTTTACAAGAAGCCAAATTCAAATGCTTCAAAGTTGGTTTCATAATGATGCAATGCCATCAGGCTGCCAAGCAATGGTAGAATGCCACAAATTGGCACACAGCATCTGACAGAAACTGCAATTCATTTTTTATAGCCATTGCCTCTGGTGATTTGCTACCTCTATGGCAGCTAGTCTTTGGGAACTGATGCCTTCTTCTGGTAAGGCTTCCTTGTCTTCAAAGTATCTTGGTGCTCTTGCAAGAGCTCAAAAATTGGCGCCAGCTGGCTCTCTTCCAATGGCATCACCAGATCTGATTTGGTTGGCCTCTGCCCCTGCATCAAGCACTCAATGGTAGCTTCACCCAGAGGTACTTGGAGAACCTCTGGGTCATCAAGTCTTCTTTTCTTGGCCTTTGTCCTTTGGGTGCTCTGGTCACTTTCTTCATAGACAGTCTCTTGTGGCTGGTCTTCACCAGCTTCTCTGGCCCACAGTTGGTTCCTCTTGGTAATGAAATCTTGGAAGCCTGTGTGGTTGGAAAAAGAAGCATTCTTGCCAACCTTGCCATAAATGATTTGGTTGAGTTGCTGGCATGTAGGTCTCAGCTTCAACCATTGGCGGCCACCATGCTCTTGAATCAAATTGGCAGGCACTGGGATTGCTTTGCAATCATTGCAGCTAATGGTTGTGATTGTTTGGATGTCAACCTTCATGTTCACCCTTGGGCAAAGTAACTGCACTTGATGATGTTTTTACAAAATTGAACGCCATGCTGGCTGATTATTCTTATGGTGGTTTATTGAAAAGTTCACATTAGAATAGAACTTTTATAATTTTCTAAAACAAAAAACTTACAATGTGGAATATGATTTTTCAATACTGATATGTTAGTTGATTTTTACTAACTCTGCCTAACTCAAGTTAAAAAATTAACATTGACTTAACATAGTTAGCTAAAAGTTAACAGTTTTTACTAAAACATCTACTTAACTTAACAAGTTATAACTGTTTAAACCCTACTTAAACCCTACTTATAACTTGTTATAACTAGTTCACATACAGTTATAACTTGTTATTAAATCATTTAACATCGATAACATGTTATAAAAAAAAACAGATTATTTAAGCACTCGTGCCCGATCTTCGCCTCACGCCACGGCGATTGTGCGCACTTCCAAAGCTGCCGCGTGGCCGGGCAGATCACAGAGAGGAACCTCCTTCCCATGCGCGGCTGCGCATACTGCGCGGATCGTCGCGGGCCACTTGATTTTGGTTTTCCACCCACCTTACGAGGTGATGTTCATGCCTGGCTAGCTGACGCCGGCATTTGAGGATTACCACCGATGTGAAATGTTCGCTGAACATTCGTTTGCACCTTGGATACCCGCAGGGCGGGCTCTCATGAGGGTAGAAAAGGTTTACGGCCGTGGGCATTCATTTGCCCTTTTCGCTTTCGTGTGGTGCGTTTCGTTCCTTGCTTTGGACTTGCACCCCTCACTTCGGTGGACTTCGTTCGCTACCGCAAGTTTGATAGTCTTCCTTAAATTGATAGAGAGGAATTAGACTAAGGACTTTGTATGATTTTCTGCCATGCCCTTGTTCCTTTGCTGTGCTGTGCCCTGTTGTCAGGTGTAGGAAGAACTTTTGTTGACGAAAAGGCCATGCCCCAAACTAAAAACAGGATTAAGGGTAAGTCCACTGCGCAAGACAATACAATGTCATGCAACAAACTTGGCAGGGTTCAGGGTGTTTTTAGGGAGAAGATTGCAGGGTTGTTCATTATTTTTCAGGAGTTGTGAAAACATGTATTGAAATAGTCCTTAAATTGATAGAGGAATTAGACTAAGGACTTTGAAAGTTTTCTGCCGTGCCCTTGTTCCTTTGCTGTGCCCTTTGGTAAGTAAATGCGAGTAGAACACGGTTGGAAAGGGTTGAGTTTGAATGTCATGGCCGTCGACCTTGCAGGACGGCCCTAACAACTTCACGTTTGCTGGCATTGCTATCAAAATTGACCCAGTGCCCCAAAACATTGCACTCCTGACATGTATTTCCTGGAGGCTTTTGATGCTTACATGCTTACGTTCCGAACTTGAACTTTGATAAGATGTTGTGTGTTTTAGCTTGTCAGGCATATTTGAAGAAGGTGCAGACCTCAAACAGAATTTTATTCATTTTGCTTTGGAAGATTGAGCAGAGCAACCATTTTTGCAACATGTGCTGTGAGTTCATGGTTTGCATTCGTGTCCAATACTGTGGCGTAACGTTCAAACTGGGTGGGTGCTTTGACTAAACCAATTTAGCGTTTGGTTTTGCTTCCGGCAATGCACGAGGCAATTGGCCCTTCCTTGCCTCCAATCCAAACGTCCAAGATTGACATTTACAGCCTCAAGGAGAGCTTTCCACCGCACTACTCAACCTGCCCCTTTCGAAACAGTCCTTCAAGTCACTTCAAGTTGTCTTTTGAGTGTGGTTTGCTAGTTTGCTCATCGTGGACCAGGATGGAAAGTGGATTAGGGAAGATGAAGAAGCATCAGTGAATCGTGGCACGCGCAAGCCCGGCGCTTGATGTTTTGTTTTGAGCAGCTTTTGACCGGTCATTGTGGATTCAAATAGATGTCATTGTTTACAACTCTCTGATGTATTCTTGTTTTTTGCCGCGTCTGAGCTTGCCCCTGCATTGAGGTCTGACTGCTACGGTTTCACCACACCATCAACGTGAGTGTGTGTCTCAGCTTTCTCAGCAACCTGCTGTGGCTTTTTTTGGTAATGGAGCTCTCCGCTCCGTGGTCACAGTGACAAATTTTGGCTCTCACGGGGCTTTGTTTATTGCTTGAGGCTGTCTAAATCCATTGAGAGCAAGCATCACTATGGGCGTGTTTAAAGTAGTCTATAATTTGGTTTCACATCGTATCACAATATCAGCACAGTTGGTTCGTTGTGGTATGACCTTGCGTCAATGACAGAATAATTATGCGTTCGCACCTGTGGTCGTAGCATGTTTCATTCAGGCGCTGCACATAGCGCCAAGCACAGACCAAGCAACATACAGCTCCCTGAGAAAAAACTTGTGCTTGATCTTGGACAGGCTTTCCTGAGAGTCGGAGCTTTGAATGGAAAACTGGCAGAACATTGAAGGAAAATCGGTGGAAAACTAGTGGACAAAGTTTTGGCAACTAAGGCTTGACAAGGCCAAAGCTTCCATTACCGCCTCCGTATCGAGGAGTGCCACAAGGTTGCTTTTGCTCATCGGGACTTACTAGCCTCACGCTCCCAAGTGAAGCCAACTTTCTTGGGTCTCTGGCGTGTGAAAACTGCAAAAACCTCGCCCAGGTCGATCTCTCCCCCACATCGATCAAGGTCGTTAATGAACATACCTTCTCACATTGTGGGAGGCTGAAACACATTTGGCTTCCGAGCACGTTGCGAGAAATCCGCACGGAAGCCTTCGCTTACTGTGAGGCCATCGAAGTGGTGGTGATTCCGCCCGCACTCAGGTATGTCGGGTAGCATGGTGTACAGATTGTAACCTGGGGGGTCGACTGGTAGTTTGGGACTCTGTGTTGAACCTAATTGGAATCGATAAACGGCTTGCGTTGCCATTTGTTCAGACACGATTGCCAGATCAGTAAGCACAGTGCCCGCTTGCTCGGCTTCCTTGTTCGGGGATTCTACTTCTGCGATGCCTGTTCTTCCGTTGCATCTACGGTTATGTCGTCTGGCATACTAGGATCAGCTGCCACTTCATCCGGTCTAGTGACCGGCAGACGTGAGTATGGACTTGCGGTGTCTGATCTGGTGGAACCGTGTGTTACTAGTAGCGTGGCACTTGTTACTACTAGCTTCTTGTTACTACTAGTA